GAGCAGGTTATCCTGTGTGTTATACCCGTGGCAGTGAAGGGGTAGGAAGGAGGTTGGCAGAATTTAAGACACAGCCTGGAAGACTGAGGAGAACAGACCAAACTGTTTTAGCCTTAAAGCTGAAGAGCATGGTTCCCAAGAGAGGGGATGACACTCAGACAGATGCTGTACCCTGTGCCAGGCTGACTGTGCCACGCTGTGCCAGCGGTGCCTCGGAGAAATCGGCAGTGCCAGAGGATTCCTCACCCCCCAGTGCTGCCCTGGGCCACCTTTACCTGTGCTTCCTGCCATGAGACCCTGGAAAAGATGGTGTTCATACAGGATTTGAGCAGGTTGGCAGAGCAGGCTTTGATGTCCGAGGGTGGAACGGAGAGGAACCTGCCCACAGGTTTTTGATGTTCTCCTGGATTTTGGATCCCCAGTAAATGCCTTCCAGGAGGTTCTGGTCTGACCTGCAGTTGTCAAAGGGGACAAGACATCTTCCTTTCTCTTCTTTCCTTTGCAGATGTAGCAACACTTAACTACATGCCCCGGGCTCAGTTGCACCTTGTAATTCCCATGGCTTTTTCCCCCCTATTTTTATGGAGCATGCCTGGGGTGGAGCCCTTGGCTACTGCACAGGGAGCCCCAGGGTCAAACCAACCGTGGAAAGCCACTCTTTGAGAAGGGAGCAGCCTTAAGATGTCAAGCAAAGGACTTGGGACTCTGAAGAGCTGGTTCTACTGTGATTTCACACAATGTGAGCAGAACAAGCTCCACTGTGCTCCCACTATGCTGTTGGCAGTTTTCTGGAATCCTGCAAGATTTAAAGGGATCAGTTCCTTCATCTCAAAGTGGCTGAAAGGGATTACCTGGTACCCGTGGAGTAAAGCCAAGATCTACTCAAGATTTGGTCAAAACTGAGAGATACAAAATAAATGAATAAACAGAAGCTGACAAGAGACCATGGAAACCAGTTTACATGGATCAGCTGACATCTTAAACTGGGACTTTTTTCCCCGGTCCTGATGAGCAGGAGAGGATTAAAGGCCTTGGTGTGTGCTGCCCATCGACCCTTCTGCTGAACATTCTCAGTGAGTTCCAGCAGGAGCTGGAAGGGAAAGCTGATCCTGATCCCTGCAGGTCCATTTTCTGCACAGGGTCTATTTTTGGGTTTGTACATTATATGAAGCCAAGTGTACTACAGGCATTGAAAAACTGGGGGAAAAAAATAAAGTTGAGATCATTCTTAAGGGAGAAAAAGGAGGAATACTCTTCTTGGGTGGTATGAAATAAAAGTGGGTCCTGAAAACAGAAGTTACTGAAAATAAATGTGTGGTACAAGTAGAATCATAAAATCATTAAAGTTGGAAATTACCTCCAAGATCATCAAGTCCTTCAACCCATCACCACCGTGTCAACTGAACTGGCCTAGAAGTACCAGGTCTCCTCGTTTCTTGAACACTTCCAGGGATGGTGACTCCACCTCTTCCCTGGGGAGCCTGTTGGCCACTTTTTCAGTGGGGGAATTTTTACTAATACAAAGCTTGTGGCTGTATCAGGAGAGCAAACAGCAAACAGGCATCTTGGAAAGTAACTGCACCCCTAAGCCAAGCTGGCAACAGAGCTTAAGGCCACACAACCCCTGCCCTGCCCATGGTATGGAGTCAAATAACTGCCAGGGGAGCTGTGATGTACTGCACTGCAGACCCTGCAGGGATGGCAAATATTCACCAGGCACACAGCAAAAGAGGGTCTTTCCAAGGATCACTGGCCTTGCTGTCCCACTCCTCGTGGCACATGTTGCCAGTGAGATGCCAGAGCCAACCCTGGTGCCCCTGGGAGCTGAGCCCCTCACTGCTCCCTCTCCCAGGAGACTGGAATAACACCTGCAAATGCAGCAACGCTCTCACTTGCCCCCCATAACCCTGGGTCTTCTTTCCCTCAGCCCAGATCAAATAAAGCTGTGGTGACTGGCAAGCTCACAATGGAACAGGGAATTGAAGTTGACAGCCCCACATGTGGGAGGTAGAAGTTCAATTCCATTTCCTCCCAAATGTGGGCTGAAGGTGAATAATGAACAGAAACAAGCCTGGAGGGAAGAGCCCAAATCTTCCGGCACTCCAGGTTTTGTAACGTCGTGTTCAGCCACCCTCAACATATTCAAAATTGGCCTTTCTGACATGGTTTTGGGAAGGGCCAGGGACATGGAGGGCTGGTGGTGTAAGTCTGACTCCACGGGAGCAGAGGCAAAGCATTGCCAGGCTGGATGGAAGCAGCATCTCACCCCTCAGCTCTTATTAATCTATTATAAATAATATTAATTATGCCTGTAGCACAAAAAGCAATTATTGAAATATTTTGCTAAACATCTTATAGAAAAGGCTATTTACCAAAAAACACTCAGCTGTATCAAAGCCTTGACAAAATGCTCTCTTAGAAATTAATAAATATGTTTGATTAGCACTTTCATGGATGCACAGATTCTGTATATGGGAGCATTATAGTGCATTTCATTATATATAAAGGCAATTAATGTCACAAATGAAGACTAAGATCTGACTCCAGCTAAATAATTGTCATTATCTATCATATAACATGCCCAGAAAGCTTAACTCTGCAATGATTTTTATGAACAATAAACTTGGCATTTACATACCAAAACAATTTGGTGTAATTCAGACTTAATAATAAATGGCAACAAAAAAAAATCACTCCCATTCTTCAGGATTTTTTCCCAGCACAATCACATGGGCATTTTTCACAGTGTGTTCATCATGATGAGAAGGGAAAGGATTTGTTCTCTGCAGTGTGTGCTGTGCTCCCAGGGCAGAGCCCCAGAGTGGGTGTGTGCGAGGGGCTGCTCGGGCTCCTCGTGTCCCAGCACCCTGGGGAGGTTATTCCATGGCTGCTGCCCGGAGCTCTGCCAGCTGAAGGATGGCTTTGCACGGAGGTGCAGAGCCCGTGGTCACCTCCTACTCCATGTCCACTCAAATCATCCTCCCTCTGCTCCGAGGGCTCTGTGCTGCAGCTTTGCCTGCACCTAACTTTGCAGTGCCTACGAACACAAGCTCATGGGGTTTCTGGGAAAATCCCACCAGCTTTCCTCATCCAAACATGAAACATTCCACTGACAGCTGCCATTTACAGCACATAAAACTTGCAGTCTTAAGGCAAGACCCAGTTACCTTTGCATCTGTTCAAGTCACTGGTGTAACACCACAGTGACAGGGCCCTGACACCAGTGTGGGGACCAAACCAGTACCCTGACACCAGTGTGGGGACCAAACCAGTACCCTGACACCAGTGTGGGGACCAAACCAGTACCCTGACACCAGTGTGGGGACCAAACCAGTACCATAACACCAGTGTGGGGACTAAACCAGTACTGTAGCACGTATGTACTCAGTGGAGTACATGAGGATGTTATGAAAACAATGGTAATGCTGCACTGATGCCAAGTACAGTCAATTGTAAGATAAAAGACTCTAAATGGAGTTAAAGGCTCATTTAGTTGTGTTTGAAAATGAGCTGTGTGGGTGTGCGAGTGTGGTGTGGTGCAGCTTGTGGAATAAAAAAAAGGAAATATTGATCAACAGTGCACAGTGCAATATCTTCACCTTGTGCCAGCTCTTAAACCAGCACCTTGCTGGTCTCAGGGACTCACTGCAGAGTTTTAATGCATAGATATAGGGGGTGGAGGTAATTTTTAAAATTACTAATGCATTAATATAATTAAATACAAAAATCTGTAGTTTTTTAATACAAGAAGCATGATTGTGTTTTAAATTCTGTTTATAGATGTTGTAGCAGGATGCCCTGCCTGAGATGGGGTCCTCAGTCAGAGGGATAAAACATCAGTGGCAACTTTTAACAAAATGCAGCTCATGAACCAGAACACACGCCCTATAAAAATAAAATAAACAGGAAAATAAAAGGCTCAGGTTTTTTTCTCTGTTGGATCTAATGCACCGTGAGCTGGGAGAAGAAATTAAAACGCCAATCCCACATCACTCTCTTCCAGCAGCACCATTTCCTCTTTGCACCTCAGCCTCCCCTTGACCAAAAAAAAAAGTGAAAAACAGACCAGCAAACTATTTTTTTGCTCATTCTGAAAAAAAATTAGAGTCTTTGAGCAAAATCATTGTTTGATGGTAATGTACTTACCTAGCCCAGGGCTGGCTCTGTCCTTGTGATTGTGAAGAAAGGAAAACACTGCAGAGCCTCTGCCTTCATTATTTGCTCGTAATTAGTTTGTTGCTAACAAAGCCTTTACTTGGGCGGAATTTCATCTCTTGTCAGCTGTAATTCATTATTAGATCTATGAATATTAAAACCCCACCATGGCCTTGCACCAGCCCCTGCAGCGCCCAGAGCCAGTCGGGGCTGACGTGGAGATCTTCATCACTGTGCCTCGGCCTCGTGGCACAGCTGTCAAATCTTCTTTTGATGCTGATTAACTTCATCAGGATAATTGATCAAGTTGTCTGGAGCAAATGGGAGGCTAAATACCTTCCCGAGGCTCTGTCACACCCCGAGCCGTGGTTCCTGTGCCAAGGTGACGTGCAGGTGCTGGGCCGCCACAGAAGGAGTTTCCTCTCACCTCTTGCCTCGACTTTTCCCTTTCCCTCCCCAGCTCACCCAACCCTTGCCTGGCAGATTGGCTCTGATTAATTGCTCCCCTAATTGTGTTCTGGTGTGCTACTGAACAGAACATCCTTCAAAGGCATCACAAACCTCAATGGCTGATGACAGCTTTGGAAACATCAAACACCGACTGAAAGGTTGGTTTTGTGGGACTCAAACTTGGATTTTGGGTTCTTAAAGATCCTGAAAAGTGCCTTTTAAACATTTTTTCCTCCTGCAATCAGCTGCCAGCTCCCTCAAGACCTTTTCCGGACCTGCTTTCTGTGCACCTCTGTGTCAGGTTTTTGGATGTTCATCTGACAACGTCATGAAATAAAGGTTAGTCACAAGGGGGGAAGGGGGAGGGAACAACTGAAAAAATATATTTATTGGAGTAAATAAAAAAAAGTTAACCAAAATCCTTTATTGATACATTCTTGGATAATATCACAGGATCGAGAGAATGGAAAGGGAGGGAGGAGGTTGCGGCAAAGATCGGTTTCACTAAATTGGCACATAAGCAGCAAGATTAACGAAATTACTTATTACAAACAGTATAAAACATACATGCTTCTGTAAGTCCTTATCACACTGGTCAATCATGGTGGGGCATCAACAGAGAAAAACCTCAAGACATGTAAAAGCCATATTCTTTCCTCCAAATATCATAATCATTGAAATTATTGCAAAATAGTCACATACCTTAAAGAAAAGAACAAAATAGAACACAAATACAAATATCAAACATAAATTATTAACATGTACCATAAAATACATTACTGGCATGCATTCCAAAGATCAAGACCTCTACTAAAACTCAGCAAAAATCCTTCTGCTTCCTCTGCAGCCCATCGGAGGTGTGAAGGGGGGACTAACTTCGCCAGCACAGTTTTTGGTCTTTAAATTCTTTTTTGTTTGTTTGTTTAGTTAAAAAAAATAAGGTATATGGATTGCAGTGATACAAGAGTAGTCATACAAGTCATGTACACAGGTCTGAGCTCCTCAGTTGCCGGTTGGTTTGAGAAGTGCCGAGAGCACAGGGCCTCATGAAACTGTGCATCCGAAAAACAAACAGTGACCTCGGAACAACATGGATGGCGATATGCAAAAATCCTCACAAACTGTACAGAGAGTTCAAAAACTTGCAGTCTGGAAGTACATAGAAAGACAGAATTAGCCCCTTAGAGTCCTTTGTGGCCTGCGCGGGGTCGGTCCCCCCGCGGCCTCGGTGGCTCCCGCGGCCAGAGCAGGCCCGAGGCCATGGCCGGAGCAGGCCCGAGGCCCGGCCGATGGCCACGCCGGTGCGGCCGGAGCCCGGAGCGGGGCAGGAGTTCCGGGAGCAGCCGTCAGAGCCGGGGCTCCCCTCGCGCCGTCCCGGGTGCCGCCGGGCCCTGCCACCCCGCACGGGGGAGGCTGCGCCAGCGGGGCAGGGAATCCTCACCCCGGAGAGCGGCCTAGATCACCAGGTTGTTATAACTGACGTACTTCTTTTTTGCAGCAGGGCCTGCAAGAGAAGTGGAGAAGGGTCAGGGCCCACGGGCCGAGCCCCTCGTTGGGGCTGGCGCTGCTCCCACATCCCTGACCCCCCTCGGACCAGCCCGAGCCCCGTGTGCAGCTCCAGCCGTTCCTACAAACCCCGTTAGCACCGATGGAGTTTGTGAGGCTCTTGCAGTCTGGGTGACTTCAATGCCGAGGCACCACAACTAGATCCTATTAAGATTTCCTTTTTCTAAAAACAGTGACGTTTTCACCAACTTCTTAAATCTCCTGGGCTAAACGTGGCTTTTCTCATGGATAAAGCAATTTTGATTCAAGTTTTATGACTTCTGAGAATTTTTCAATATAGGAATGAAGGTACCACCTTCCCTAATTATGACCTTCAAATCCAATCTGTTTGCAAACAGAAGGAAATCAAAGCAGTCAGGAGAAGGAAGAACTTCGTGAGCTCTGCTACATGCTCCTGTCAGGAAAATCTGCAACTATTTGCAGCTGAACACAAAGCAAAATGTTTTACAGTCGTATGGCAACACTGACAGATTCAGGACACAGAATCACAGAATATCCTGAGCTCGAGGGACCCACAAGGACCATCCAGTCTGACCCCTGGCCCTGCCCAGGACACCCCAACAATCCCACCCTGTCCCTCAGAGCATTGTCCAAACCCTCCTGGAGCTCTGGCAGCCTTCAGGCCGTGCCTGTTGCGATGGGGAGCCTGGGCAGTGCCAACCACCCTCTGTGGAAAAACCTTTTCCTGAGATCCAACTAACCCTCCATAGAGGTAAAAAAAAGGAGCCTGTATTTACAGTTTGCTAAAACACTCAAGCCTAAATCCCACTGTCTTTGAGAGAATTTGGCATAACTTAACCATTTGCTGAACATTTTTGGGCTGCTAAACTGGGACAGACTGCACTCTCCTTTTGGGATATTTTTTTTAGAATAGAGTATGTTTCATTGTAAATCTTTCTCAGGAAGATTTAAGAGATGCCACGGAAGGAGAGGCGAGAACAACCACTGAGTTTGCTCTGCAAAGCTGCTTTTCAAACTTGGTTTTGGGCATCCCAGGGCTCCTCTGAGCCCCTCTGCTAAGCTAGATATTTTCCATGGTGTTCACTATCTTTTAGTGACAAAGAAATGATTTTACTCCCAAGGCTGGTATGTAAGAATCTCTCATGTAACTCCAGCCCTTTGCAGTATTATCCTGAAACCCCAACTCAGCTGTTTTCTCATGCCCCAGATGAGTCAGAGCTGTCTGTTCAATCAAGGACTGAGTCTACAAAGTGCTGATCATCTTCAGTTCCCATTAACTTCTCTTGGACACGAAGGTGTCCAACATCTGCCAGGATAAAACTCATTATCCTCCAAGGCTACACTGCAAATATCCAATAAACTGTGGAATGCTATTAGATGCTGAAAAGGGGTAAAATGAGTCTAGGAAAAAAAAAAGTCATAACGGAACAGGTTGCACAGTAATTCCATGTATTATTTTGTGATATACTTCAGCTTAACCCATTACATGCTCCAATTTCAAACAGCAGCAGTTCCTGTGACAGAGGTTTGGATGCTCTCCACTGCTGGTTCCTATCATGTCACCCCTTCACTGTTTCCCAGGATGTTACTCAGCCTTTCAGCAAACCTGAGCTTTGTGCTGATGAGTTTTCTTACCAGTGCAGCCTCAGTAGCTCAGCTCTCATTTCCAGTAGGACGGTGAACCACTGGTGCCAGAGGGATTGAGCCAAGAAATGCTGTGGATAATGTGCACCTGTGGGCTCTCCGTGGAGAGGTGGGCTCTGAGCTCAGACAGTGCTGGCATGGCTCTGCTTCACCAGAGTGATGCAGCTGACAAAAGTATCATCCATAATTTAGACTAAATGATCAATAAAAGCTCCATGGTTATTTTAGGAGAGGAATCTTCCTTGGCCTTAAAGGCTGTTAGGCCGGAGGAGATCATGTCTCCTGATGGCTGTTGGTGCATTTCACTGCTCTGCTCCTGCACTAACTGCAGGAACCTGGAGCTCAGCCCATGTACAATTCCAGACACACTCCAGTCTTGAAGACTTCAGGAGAGAGACAGTCTACTTTGATAACAAATCTCTACTGAGTTGAAGCTCATCATTATCACTGGCAATTAGCACCAGATATGGATTTGATTTTCCTCAAAGAAATTAATTTGCATGAAAATGGGGGACGCTAATGAAACATCAGCGTTACCAGGATTCACCCGTGTTTTAATCCAGGAGACAGGAGCATTCCCTGTTCTTCAAACGGGAACAGATAACACATCTCCCACGCTCTGTTGCTGTTCATGGGTGACGGCTTCCCAACAGTGAACACACATTGTCCTCTTGCAAACAACATATACATGTTAATTAATATACATATAATTATGTCAGCCTCGGCTGGCCATTGACTTGGACACGCTGGCAGAGAGCCAAGAGTTGCACATGCAGAATCTGCAGTGCTGGGCCATTCCCTGTGTCCAGAGAGACACAGGCCAGCTGCATCCAGCCCCCTTTCCCGTGCCTGGTGCAAGGAACACACAAACAAGCCGTGGGATGAATGGGGACTGACAACTATTTCTGAGTACAGAATACCACGTGGGAAGGAAACATCCTGGATCCGGCCTGTTTGCAAATAAATGTGCTGCAGGCATTTAAACTGTGTAACTTGTTTGGAAAAAAAACGGGGACCTTTCTAAAGAGCCTTAAAGACCTAAAAAGAGGCTTCCCATCACCACTCCCCACAAGTGCTCTTCTCTGCTAATTTTCTGCTAATTAGCGGTGAAGAGTGACAATGTTAGTAGGAGAAGGAATCTGTATAAGGGATATCCAGAGGATACAGTCTCATACACAGTCAGGGCCATTGCACAACCTCCAGTTCAGTCCGGCCACAGGTGACCACAGAGAACCACAGAATCACTGGGGTTGGAAAAATCCTCCGAGACCATCAAGTGCGACCTTCAGCTGACACCACCACACCCATTAAACCACAGCACTGAGTGCCACATCTGCTCATTTTTTGAACACTTCCAGGGATGGTGACTTCACCACCTGTTCACTCATCCAGTGAAGAAATTTCTCCTAATATCCAACCTGAATCTCCCCTGCTGCAGCTTGAAGAAGTTTCCCCTTGTTCTATCACTGAGTTGCCTGGAAGAAAAGCCTGACCCCCACCCTGCCACATTCTCCTGTCAGGGAGTTGTAGAGAGCAATAAGGTCCTCCCAGAGCCTCCTTTTCTCCAGGCTGAGCCCCCCCAGCTCCCTCAGCTGCTCCTCATAGGATTTATCATCACACACCCCCATAAGGCAGAGCACAGCACAGGATGCTCCAGCTCCCATTATGATTTTGCTTTTACTGGGCTAGGAAAGAAAATTCTTTTGTCCTGACAGAGGCATAAAGAGGCCCCTTGATCACCAAAACCCCAGACACCTCCCAGCACAGCTTTACTTTAGGATGTACCTGTGTTCAAGAGCCTGAAACCCCCGTGAGCTCCGAGTTGTCCTCTCAGTTATGTGCTGTGCCTTTCCCCACTCTCCGTAAGTGGATCCCACCCTCCTGCCTTGCAACCATCCGTGTGAAGACACCTACAGCTTGCAGCAACACCACCCCAATGAAAACAACCTGCACAGCTGCACGTGGAAACCAAACAATGCTTCCTTAAAGCACAATCATTAATTAAACCCCTTTTCTTTTCAGCGGTGGGGGGCAGTGAGAGCCTACACCCACCCCCTTCCAGAAGGGAGCAACAGGATTGGAAATAGCCGCATCTCTGTGCCATGACAACATATTAAAAACAAATACTCAGAAGCAAAAAGCCTCTTTGGATATATAAGTTTCATCACTTGACTGGTTTTCATTATCTTGAGCACAGGACACAAAGAAAGGAGCTGCCACAGCATCCCAGAGCAAGGCAGACTTGTCAATACTGACTCAGAGTGAGATTTAATCACTTGCACTTCAATTTTATGCACATTTGTAACCTCTTCCATGCTTAAAAAGAAAAGATTTACAGTGCAAGAAATGAATTTTATTGCAGCCCCCAGGCATCTCAGGCTATCAAACGTATGAGACATCATCTCAGCATTCCCAGCTCTGAGCAGGAAGGGACATCGTGATGGCTCCGAGCCTGGAACTCCTGCTCTGATTCCCTCTGCAGTCACTGTGGCAGATAATTCTTACCTTCTCTCTTTCTTAATTCTGGCTTAGAAACCCATATCATTCGTGCCAGGCAGAGCGGAGGCTGATTATTAAATCCTACTTCTAGTCCATCTCAAAGCGAAATGGGTGTACGTGGCTCCTCCTCCATCTCTGCCAGAAAGACAGAGCTGTCCCCATGCTCTGCTGCCTTTAAATTGGGGAATTTAGATGAGAAAGAGATGAAAGCAACAGGCCTAAATGATTCTACATGCTTGCCCAAACCCCAACAAATGGAATGAAGCTTGGAGAAAATAATTTTAAATTTGGTATCTAAATGTAAATGGATTGTTCTATCACATTTTGACATCTCTCTGTTGTGCTGCCATGGTGTACTGGCACCTTATCTGGTCTCTAAGTGCCTGCAGTTGTACGAACCCATTTCCCCCCTGTGTGGGGGGTCCTTGCAGCCTGAACCACGTGGCTTTTATGCAGATGAGCACATGGAACCTCATGTTTTAATGGCATGTGAATATATTAAATTACAAATATAATATTAGTGGAAGTGTGTTCCTCCTAATTGCTTCACACCCTCCTCTTCTCCTCAGTGACACCGTCCCCAGCTGTCAGATCTGTCACTCTCTAGAGCAGTGACAATCAGTGCCTGGGTGCTGAGGACAGCCAGGAATAGTGGTGATGTTCCAGGCGTGGGGAGGTTCATCAGCAGGGCACAAACAGCAACAGGGCAGGAGAAAGTGCTCAAGGGACTCTTTGTGTCTCCTGATCACTAATTTATCCAGTACAACTGGTATGATGGCAACCTGGTGCTGAGTTGGACAGTCTACTGCATCTGTTGTTTGATGTGTCTGATGGACACGGCCCCCTGGATTCTCCAGTGGGATAGCTGGATGGATTGTCCTTAGGAATCACTGGAAATCCCAAAGCTGGCCAAAACCATCACAACCCAGGTGGGGCCATACAGGCACACTTTCCTTGGTGCAGGCACATAATACAGTGCCTATGGTTAGAAATCTAACCAGCTGCCACTAAAATGCCAAATGCTGCAGGAGATAAAGCCAAAGCAGCCTCCCCCACGTGTGCACAGAGCTGACTGGGGAGACAAGGCCAGGTTTTCTGCTGGCTCCACTCAGCTAACATAGGCAGGGTGGCTGGAGCCAGATGTCCAGCCTGGCTGTCCACTCCCAGCCCGGAATGCCACCCAGGTGTCTCCGCTCCCAGTCTGCAGAGCACTGATATAATCCATAAGCTGCTGCTCCAGAGAGGAATCAGGAGGTGACACCAGTGGCCAGAGGTCAGCAGTGAGTGATTAATGCCAAGAAAGCAGCAGGAGAGGAGAGCCAAAGCAACCTGCTTTACACAGCCCCGCCAGCCTGGATCCACCTGGCTCCCCTCGGGGCCTTCAGAATGCAATTAATAACAAAAGTATTGCTTCAGATCGTTAGAATAATGATGTTTATGCATATGCATGCAAATACCCTGCTCAGAGCAGGGCTGGGCACATGCTGCAGGTGTATTTCTGTCTAAGGAACACTCACTGTCCATCACTTCACATGGCTTCCCCTTCTGAATTCCTCATATTTTATCTGAGGCTCACTTTACCTTTAGGGCTTCCTTATTACTCTCCCTTTTAGACACGGCTGTTTACCCTCCTGTCACGCAGCCCCTGAGCACAGCCAGCCTGCAGAGCTGCTGCAGGAGTGCCACAGCTCCCTGGGAGCCTTCCACACAGGGCATTGTCACCACTCGTGCAGGGCAGCGCCGGGGCCAACGCAGCTGTTACAAATACTCAGTATCCTGGGCTCTTTTAATGAGGATTCCTTTGAAGTTCCCACGAGGATTTAATAGGAAGGAAGAGTCTGACCTTCCCAGTTCCCCAGGGCACATGGGGATTTGAAGTAGGTTTTTCTTTAAAAAGTCTGTAGTAGCAGCTCTCGGGGTGTGTGTTTTTGACTCCTCACTTTTGTTACGATGCACTTTCTGTGAGAACAGGGAATGTATCTAGCAGAAAGAATAATAAAGGCAGTTCTTGGGTGAGATAATGGCATAATGATAGAATCAGTTCAGGTCAAAGTGGCAAAAACATGACCCTCTTAAAGCCTAAGACAGCGTGGGAGGGTTGAGTTCATACAGTAAGTGTTTGCTTTGGCATCTTGCAAACATGTTGGATTGAGCCCAATCTGCTGGTGAACTTTTATATCCATAGGGATGAAGGAACTCTAAGCTCAGGCAATGCAGGGAAAGCAATTCTGTTAAACACTTGCTTGCACTGCAGTACAAAGCCAGACAATTCTGACCTGGTTTCAAGCAGAATGATACCCACTCATTCCAGTGAAACAGGCTTTCCCAGGGAATCCCAGGAAGGATTGGAGCTTATCACACCCCTCACTCTAAAGCCACAGAATGATGTAAAGGTCGTTCTGCACAGTCCGTGTGCACGTGGCAGCTCTTTGGAAAGAGGAAAGAAGAATGAAGGGGCTATTTGAAAGTTGGGCATGTTTTCATCTCATGTTCCAGATAAATAACAGACTCGAGCTCGTGCACGGAGCTCAGAGCCACAGGGCTCTGGCACAGGGGAACAGACACAGCTCTATGTGCTGGGAAGCTTTTCCTGATGGCATGGGATAACCAACACACTGCCCTGACTCTGCTCCTGGAGAGCAAACTTAAGCTGTCTACAAAGACAAGTAAGGGAAAAATCCTACAGAATGTAGCACAAACCATACCCTTGCTGTTTTTAGGACAGTGCAGTGGTGAACTCCCAGTTCAACTCCAGCTCTCCAGACAGGCATGGAATTGCAATCCACTGAAATCCCACTCCTGCTCCAGTCAAGGGCAAAGCACCTCCCAGTTTCAGCACAACCAGCATTGTTCACCCTAAAAATTTACAGTACAGTATAAAATAATGTGGAAAGTTATTGGTTCCTCACAACACTTGTATAGCATAGTCCCCCTTGGACACAGGGAGTGCTTCAGGTCTCTCTGGTTTTCCACCACTCTGCTGGAAGCACCCACGTGCCCCCACAGTCCCTCTCCCTGCCCAAACCCCCAGTGCTGGAATCCCAGGGGCAGGTTCCTTTCCTGGGCAAAACACATCCCTGAGGAAAGTTACTGAAATCCAGGTGTCTCTGGCAGGAGACAGGACCGTGGTAAGGGCAAAACTCAGTGAGGAAACTCGGTGAGGAAATGTGCTGCTCTGAAAAATATTACAAAGTTGTGCACCTGTATTACTTGTAAAACCAGGGCTATGGGGTGTCCTGGGATATCTCCCAGCACTGGGCTGTGATCTCTATTCCCTGTTTTCACTGGCAGGAGGTGGCACTCACCATTTCTAACAGATTTCCCAGGGCCAGGGCCAGTTCTCTGTACACAAACAAAGCACATCATTTATCTCTCTGCCTCGGAGCTGCTCATGCCAATACCTCTGTCAGCCTCAATAAACTCCCTTTGTTAAGCTGGAGGGATGATCCAATGCCTGTGGTGACAGGCACTGCTCTGGCCTCCCGGGGCTGTGCTGAGGGATCAGCTCTGCCTGCCACCCCTGGGCTTTGCAGGTGTTATCAAGGTGGGCACCTGCAGAGATCAATCCAGAGTCCTTCCTCTGAACTTTCCCATCTGAGCCATTAAAATAAAATGTGACTTTGAGTCACAGAGTAGAGCCAGACTGTTTATGGCCTGAAAAATCATCAGGGTTTTGCCAGACAGAAAATATGAGATTGAGATTTGGAGTCAGGAAATAAGATTGTAACAGAGGATTAGTTGTACCCTTCTAAATAAAAGCTAAAATCAACAAAGTAGGTACTGCTGAAGAACATCAATCTCGAGCATGTTTGGCTGCATCTTCCCCAATCTCCTCCTTGTCTGTTTGCAGATAAAAACCTCTGTGTCAGGTGAAGCTTGAAAGTATCAGAGAGAGTGGGATCAGAGGATGAACAGCAAGAAGGCTTTATCAACACTTCCAGCAGTGAAAGATTGCAGAGAGGCTTCAGGAAGAGCTGTGTTTGTGCTCTGAGAGTGGGCTGTGGTCAGGCCATGGGGGGCAGAAATCCTGCTCCAAGTGCAGCAGAACGTGAGGATGGAAGTGGTTCCCAGAGGACAAGCAGAGAGAGTCACTGTACAACCCTCACCCCAATCCCATGCCCAGTGCCTCACCTGCACCAGCCTCACAGGTAGCTGGAGAAGTGCACAGGATCTTAGGAAATGTGTCTCCAAATCTGTATGAGATTATGGCAGGGGAGAAACAAATCCAACTCCTATTCCTTAATTGGAGCCAACGGTACAGAAAACCCACTAATCCAAACTACCTCTTTAATGTTTCTGTTTGAATGCTGTGGACTGGAAAGATAACAAACAGAAGCAAATTATTTTCACCTGATTAAAACCAAGTAATTAACAGCACTTTGGTTATCTCACCTGGAAAGCCTGGCTCTGGGAGAGCTGTTAGAGCCATGTGTGAAAACAGTTTGCAGGAAACATAATCAAAATTATGACCTGAGTGATCGGCTGAAACATCCCAAAGGAGTCCTGGAGTCAGAGCTGCAAGGAAACAATTCACCTCTGGCTCCTGACTGTGTTCCAGAGTGTCCCCACTGCCTTGTCCCAGCCCCAGGGCACGGCTGGGAGCTCTGCAGCCACCCTTCCCCTCCCAGCATGGCCCTGACACTTCCCAGGACATCTCTCCATCGTTTATTTCTCCTGCCATCCTGTGATGTGTTACCCCCTTCTCTCCAGCTACCGAGGACCAACACAACCCCCCCCCACCAAATCCATTCCCAAACAGCACCTTTTGGTGGCCAGTCCCTATCCCAGCAACACCCCAGCTCTTCTCCATGCAAATCCCAGTGTTGTGACCCAAGCAGATATCCAAGTAAATCATAGAATCACAAAATGGTTTGGCTTAGAATGGACCTTAAAGCCCATCCCATCCCACCCTCTGCCATGGGCAGGGACACCTTCCACCAGCCCAGGTTGCTCCAAGCCCCATCCAACCTGGCCTTGGACATTTCCAGGGATGGGGCAGCCACAGCTTCTCTGGGCAACCTGTGCCAGGGCCTCACCACCCTCACAGCCAGGAATTCCTGCCCAATATCCCATCTAACCCTACTCTCTGCCAGTGTGAAGCCATTCCCCCCCTTTTCCTGCCACTCCAGGCCCTTGTCCAAAGTCTCTCTCCCTCTTTCTTGTAGCCCCTTCTGGTCCTGGAAGGCCACAATTAGGTCACCCTGAAGCCTTCTCTCCTCCAAGCTGAACAGTCCCGATTCTCTCAGCCTTTCCATGGTTACACAGTAATCAGACAAGTCATAATTTTCTTACACCCAGGAACTCCCCTCCCTTCCTGCCAGCTGGCCTGCTCCAACTCCTTGGCAGAGTTGCTGGTAACAAACATCCTAACAGGAAAATCAAGAATGTTCATGAGGTGCAAAGAGACTAAATTCCCTGGAAAATGTATTCCTGGTGTATGATTCTGTTACACAGTGTCTAACAAAATTACACTCCGAGCTGCACTGTTTAACAGCTCAATTTTGCTGCAATCAACATTTAATTTTTTAGCAGAAAGTCTTGATTTCAAATACCCTGGAAATGTTTAACAGCTGATATTAATAAGAGCCCAGATTTAATGCAGGGCTCTTTATGCCAGGGACATGATAAGCATCGTGACAAATGCTGTAACCATGGCAACCGTATCTTTTTATTTCTTTTTCCACTGAACAGCAAGAACACACATCTCAGTGGATGCAGTGCCAGACTCTGCTCCCAGGTAAGACCCAGAGCTCTGAGTCACAGAGGAGTAACTCAGCCAAACCCCAGAATGCCTTTCTTCCCTATTATGTGTCTCCATTGTGTTTCAGGGGCAGTTACATGTATTTAACCTAATTCCCTTCCCTTTTTGTTTTGCTCTATGGCAAAAAAATATACCCCTGCCTTTGTTCCTTGCCATCAGACAGAGTTGAAAACAATCAACCTCACCCCAAAGTCAAAACACCTCTTTTCATGACCAAAAGGATGCTCTCCTCTAATGTGTCCCATGCATTGCTGGGAGATGCCCACATTTCCTTCCCTGAAGCCAGTAAAGAGAAACAAACACCCTGTGATGTTTTCCAGAGAGTTCGGGTGTGAGAGCAGTGCCTGTGAGAGAAAAACACTGAGAAAACTCTATTTCTGATGTGCCACTGCTTTGATTTGCTGCTGCTTCCTGGCCCCCAAAACCCAAACAAACCCAGGCCCCTGCTGCACAAATATATTCTCTGTTTGCTCTCCGTGTCAACAGGAAACAATCTCTGCCTCCTTTCCAGGGTGATTTCTGTCAGTGGCAGAGGAGTGCTGGGCTGTGCCTCAGTCCCTGAGCTCCCACTCCCCCAGTCCATCAGCGCTGTCATTCCCCAGCCCTGCACTACAATCTGCCACGGCTTTGTTTGCCACGAGGTGACAAAATATATCAAGGTTTGGGTAGAATCCCCAAAGGCACCCAAGGAGGCAGGAGCAGCCCTGTGCAGGCTGTGACACAAACACAACCCCTTGGCCAGAGGCTGGAGCCATCGGGGGATGTGCCAGTGGCAACAAAAACGGAAATAATTCCCATCCCAAAAGCTGCCAGATACAAGTTCTGCTCCCTGGTGCCTGGGTCAGGGAGAAAGGAAACAGGACCCCAAATCCTGCAGTGTCCCAGGCTGGGGAAATCCCAGGGACTCCAGTGGAATCGAGGTGAGAATGTCAGGTTCCATTTCCCAATCCCACAACTCTTCCCTGCTCCTGTCCCTGACCCTGAGTGGGGTGTGGGTGCTCAGGAGAGCACAGCAGGGACAGGGAGGGAACAGCACCAGCTGAGCCCTGGCACGGTGACATCTGCCCTGCCTGGGAGAAAGGGAGTCATTAGAAATAGATGGAAGAGAAGAGAGCCAAAAGTCTTGACTTTTTCCTGATATTACAATTTATAAATTTGACAGAGTCTCCCTGAGAGGATGTAAGGACTGATAAATTAATCAACGGGAGAACTCAGAGCTACTGAGAGTTTACCGGGTAAAAAAGCAAGAGAGGGACTGGTCCATGAGGTCTAACTATGTCTGCTCACTCTTCCTCCAAATTTCCTAGGGAAAAAAAAATATATAAGAAGACAAACAGAAAAAATGGAATGAAATATGAATACTTATACACTAATTAATACTCAATTGTTCCTCACAGACATCTATCTACTACCCAGCTTTTAATATCCAAGGCACTTCTAGCCATGAATAATGTGTTTTTATTCAGACATCAAATTCGAAGGTGATGGTTTAAGTGCCCTAAGAATTTTAATTTTTAAAAAAGGAAACAGTATGACACTTCCCTGCATATTTACAAGTCTTGTGTCATGTAAGTCATGAAAGGTGTGAGACAGTCTGCAAATAATTAATATGGGAGCGTGCAATTGTGTGAATGTACGAAAGTGCACCATCCAAAGTAGTTATTTTTAGATGTAGAAAGAAAGTACTGTGATCCCCAAATGTTCAGACAGGAGGGAATGTTCTATCCAAGGCCTGGAGCCCCCCTGCTCTGGAGCCAGGCTGGGAGAGCTGGGGGGGTTCACCTGGAGAAGAGAAGGCTCCAGGGAGAGCTGAGAGCCCCTTGCAGGGCCTAAAGGGGCTCCAGGAGAGCTGGAGAGGGACTGGGGACAAGGGATGGAGGGACAGGACACAGGGAATGGCTTCCCACTGCCAGAGGGCAGGGAGAGATGGGATATTGGGAAGGAATTGTTTCCTGGGAGGGTGGGGAGGCCCTGGCACAGGTTGCCCAGGGAAGCTGTGGCTGCCCCATCCCTGGAAGTGTCCAAGGCCAGGATGTATCTCCAGGCAATACTTTTAAAACAAGCATATCACTGTTAGAAGAATTTATGATGTTTAGTTTTCCAGTCAGCCATTCTAGAATCAAAATAGATGCCGTGAAGAGCTGTCAAAGTCAATTTTGACTGCAAATTCTCATTTCTTAGCAGCCTCCACTGAACAGAAAATCCCTCAAGTGAGGTTAAACACGGAACACTTTTTCGGGATGAAATGGGCCAGATTTAAAATAAAAATGACGCTTCAATCCAGCAAATAATTATTCTCCTCCACACACCCGAGGGCCTGATGAGCTACGGAGCATCACAGACCCACAGCCTTCAAAGAGCTGCCCTTCCCCAGGGACCCTACTGCTGGGGGTGGGGGGGCTCCATGGGCCCTGGGCTCCCAGTGAAGAAGGATAGGCATGGAAAATCCTTGGCACTTGGGGGTACCTCTGTTTACCTCTTCCAGCATAAGCCCAGGATCAGTTTGAAACCACATCCTGACTCATATCACAACAGCTTCATTCCAGAGCAATCTCAGTAATTGCATTTATATTCTACGGGAGATGTGACCAAGACACACGATGACTCCCCAGGTGTGGGGCTGCACATCCCTCACAGACTGCCTGAGCACTTGGCAATCACGAGGGACACTCCTCTGCATGCTGATCCAGCCAAGAAGGACTTGGGAAGCAACTGGAAAGCCTCTGGAAGCAGCACACTGTGCCCAGCCCCGGGAGGGGAGGTCCTGCCCAGCCCAGCCTCCCTGGCTCCTGCTGTGACTGGAGCTGTGAACCAGCCCCAGTGGTGTCAGTGCCCAGCTGGGTCTGAGAGCAAACCCAGAGCTCACACACAGCTCCAGGGATTGGCCTTTCCAAGGGAATTCAGTAAGGATTGGAGATGCACTCACTGCCCAAAGCAGTGCACAGGGCCAGCCTGGGGACACCGAGAGGAATTCCAGAGGAATGCAGAGGCCAAGGTCAGGACAGGTTCCTGCTGAGCTGCTCCTCCCTGCCCTCACCCCTGAGAGCCTCGTGCCCAGCACACAGCGAGGGGGGAACCTTGTGCTGCCTGGAGATCTGGGAATGGAGGGAGAACAGAGCTGTGGAGCCCTGCACTGGGAGGCTCCAAAGCCCAAGGGACTGATCCAGGTCTTTCAGATATCACAAGTACTTCGGTCACTGGACTGCCTTTTCCTGCTGCCCTGGATCAGGAGAAAAGTGCAGCAGGCATTTCTGCAGCACCAGCTGTGGCTCTCCAGAACAATGACTTTCCCTGCCTTGCTCAGTGATGGACAAGCCACCTTGACCCAGCTACCACACAGAGCTTTTCAAGCCTTGTGTTTTCATCAGTCTCTCCAGCAGAGAAGTCCTGTTTGTCACTCCCAGGAAGTAATTTAAAGCATTATAAACACAAGTTTAAACACAAACTGTGTGCATCACAAGCAGAAATTGATACAGTCACGTCAGGGCTCAGCTCTGTGTCCATACCTACCACAAATAAGTTACCAGCATAAACAACTGTCAATTTACAACCGAGTTGATATTTTCCTGCTATCCCTGCTTTGTTTTTAATACAATGTATTGTTTCCTGCTGGTTTTCGTTTTGTATTCCTGGAAGAACAAATCAAAGCAGCAAGCAGAGCTGCAGCAGCCAGAGCCGCCAGCCCAGCTGGAGCAGGAGTGCTCCGGGGAGGGATGGGGAACAGAGCCTGGTGCAGAGGAGCTCTGGCAGGACCAGTGCAAGCCCAAGCCATCCCTGACCATAGCATTTTCACAGCTTTTCTGAACCAAACTTTAAAATCTGCTCAAAGAGTCTGAATGGCCAATTTGCTTTTTCTAGGACTTGGATGACAACATTACTTGTGTGCCTTTGCAGACAGCAATGCCTCATATGATTTCCACTATTACATGGAGAAAATTAATGTTAGAAATCCATGTGAGCTCCTAATTACTTTATTTTCAAATGCTTGTGCTTTTTTTTTTTCCAGTTTTTTGTTAAAAAGTGATTTCTCCACAGATTAAGGCGTCTTCTATCTCTCTCCTTCTCATCTCTTTCCTTTAACAATTTCATCTTCACATGGCTGCCCTTTCCTCTTTCCCATTTCATTTGCAATAATACTTTGAGTGGCCCCTTCTCCTCCTCGACTGCTTTGTTCCATTTCCCTCCAGCCCAGCCATCATCACCCTTCCTGACTCCGGCCCTCGGATGCTCCAGGTCATCCCGATGTTCATGAAGAGCTTCACACCTCAAATCAGCCTTTCTGCCTGAGCTGGGAGTTGACATAATGGCCCTGATTCAAATACAATAAAACCAATTTGAACACTCTGTAAGGACTAAATTGAAACTGGAGCTGGGGCAATTTACACCACCAGAGATATTAGGAATCTTTTTTCCTGTGACTCAGAGACTCAATTCAAGCAACATTCCTACCTTTGCTGATATAAGTTCTCATCTATGAGGAATCAGTGAAACATTCTGAAGGCTGAATAGTCATTTCTTCAGGCCCTCAGTGCACAGCACCACAGTAACCAGATCAGCACCTTCCATACCTGGGCTAAGCCCAAAGGAGTGGGCAAAGCCCCACAGAGAGGGACAAACCCCCTGAGTGCACACAGAATTGTGAGAAATAGCTATTAATGGTTGTTAGTAATTTTTCCCCAATATCAAAGGCTTTCTTGTTCCTCTAATTGCCCTAGAGCAGCAGGAATTCCTGGCTGATGCAGTCACAAGTACCAAGTGAGCTCACACATCACCACGAGGGCAGCCACAACACTCAGGAAAAGCCAGTCCTCAAAAATTGTTCACTTGTGGTTCCAAGCAGCAAGTGGTCACTGGGAAAAGAAGGTTTTGCAAACTTTTTTGGAGCCATTTTTAATTTTAGAGTAAAGAGGGTTGCTCAGCTCACATGTTGGCAAACGTTATTTTTGTGCTACCAGGCAAACCTGTGGGTAGAGATGCTGGAAATGACTCAGAAAACACTTTGTTAGCTGTTAGATCTGGTGGCCAGAATTAACTTTTGATCGTTTGTTCCTTTTTTAAATTGTTATTGAATATCTCCATCTTCAAAAGCTTTATTGGGATCCACCCCCAGTGGTGGGAAGCAGGAGACTACCAGGTGCTGGTGCTCAGGGATCCCAACACAGGCATTGGAATCACCCACGTTATGGGTCTCCCCTTTTCCAGGAAAGCCTTCCCATGGCAGCTTCTGGTAATGGATTTGTGAACAATTTTTAAGTTAGATACTTGTTTTAACATAGCTGCACTAATGAACATTCTGCATATAACTATGTATATAATAATAAGAACCATCATCACTTGAGAATAAAATAATAAGAAGCTCGGTTTTCCTTACCTTTTTGGAAAGCAGGCAAAAGCTATACAGTAGGTGGAAGAGTGTACCAAGTAACAGACTTTTGAACACTCTTTCTTACTGGTGGTATGCAGTCTGAGGGAAAGTAAATACATTGGTCTGTAGGATCTGTGCACAGCAAACTCTTCACAGCTGCCCTGCCATGAGCCCGTGACACTAATCCGGCTGCAGAGCTCGGATTAGAGCAGTGCAAAGCTGAGAGCACCAGCACAGGAATGAGCTCTGGGTAGGCAACAAATGAACCAGCCACAGAGTCCAGGTACCTCTGAACATGGGAGCAGCTGCTCACACAACAGCAGCTCTGGTTGGTTATTTTTTTTCCTTCCTCTCCCCTGAATGAATTCTGGGACATTTTGGCTTTAGTTTCAGTTCTCCCAGTCCCTCCTCACCAACACAGCCACTCATAGGCTCCTCAGCATCATCAACAACCAGATTAGTGTTTTCCTACGTGCCCTCAGTGCTGTTAAGGGTGAATAGCAGTGAACACACAAACAGGACATGCTCGTGATCCACAAGCACCATCCACAGGTTAATGATGGGAACCCACAAGCTCAGTGTTCATTCTCGAGGATGGAGAAGAGTGAGGATGGACACAGAGTGCCCTCAGTACCCCTGGGATGGACACAGAGTGCCCTCAGTGCCCCTGGGATGGACACAGAGTGCCCTCAGTGCCGCTGGCATGGAAGGGGCTGGCAGTGCTCAAGGAAGCACTGTCAGAACACAGACCATGCAAACAGTGCCTGGTGTGCTGGGGGACGATGCTGTGACTGCACCTCCCCACTAAAAACTCAATCAGCTGCCAACTAAGTTCTACTTAATGCTGAAAGAGGGGAAATTTAGGTTAGAATTCTTCCCTGTGAGGGTGGGGAGGCCCTGGCACAGGTTGCCCAGAGAAGCTGTGGCTGCCCCATCCCTGGGAGTGTCCAAGGCCAGGTTGGACGGGGCTTGGAGCAACCTGGGATGGGGTTAGGGTTAGGGAAGGTGTCCCTGCTCTGATGTCCCTTCCACCCCAAGCCATTCTGCAGCTCTGTGAAGGCAGACACTGCTGGCCCAGCCCATGGCAGGCACAGCCTCCTCGCTGCCAAGGCCCCGGGCGCTGATTGCCGTCGCTCTGTCGGGTGAAGCCATGAATTAAAACAAGCTGCTTGGGAAAAGGAGTAATTACATGTAAATCTCAATATAAGTTAAGTATGGGTTGGAGGTTCAAATGTTTCTCTCCCAGTCTGACACTCTGCTCCTGCAGCACAAACAGGAGCAGACACAGCCCAGCAGAGCATTCACTGTCTGCTCCAGCTCACACTTGAGAAGCGCCTTCTCAAACAGGGGGAAATCCAGCCAAAGACACACGAGAGCAGGATGAACTCATGTGGACCAAGCTGCTGGGCACCAAATTCTGCTCGTCCAAACCTGCAGCAAACATGCATCAGGGGGGCAAAGCTGTAAAAGGAGTGGAAGCATGAACGTGCCAGATGGCAAACGGGAATGATTAAGAGACATTTCCTAGATTGAAAACCTTGGCCTTAATATATTACATCCAGCAGGAAAGCCCTCCCACAGCATGGTTGGGGAGCTCAGCTTGTGAAACTTCTGATTTCCCACAGATCCTAAGAAAATCTGGAACACGGAGAGTCCCTATTCCACAATAAGTGGGCTGTGAGGTCACTGCACTTGGAGTGATTCTCCTCCCATGTTAATCAGTCTCTTTTATACTCACACTAAACCCCCAGTGTGTGAGTCCAGCTCTCCCAAGTGCTCTGCACGTTTGTTTCGGAGCCTGAATTCCTGCAGATGCCCCCAGAGTTGTGTGCAGAGGCTGCACATGATGCTCAGCAGCACTGCTGAGGACCACCTGCTCCTGGGAAGCCACTCAGGACATTTATAGGCCTTCCAGCTTTACAAGCACATCTTCAGTTCGTTATCTCAGAATGGTTTGGGTTGGAAGGGACCTTCAAGATCATCCAGTTCCAACCCCCTGCCGTGGGTAGGGACACCTTCCACTAGCCCAGGCTGCTCCAAGCCCCATCCCATCTGGCCTTGGACACTTCCAGGGATGGGGCAGCCACAGCTTCTCTATTCTTTTCAAATCTGCTAAATCATGGAGATTTTTTCAAGGCTCTTTTTCTGTAAAACCATCCACATCTGCTTTTGGTTTGACTCTGGCATGTGAGTAGGACAGGCCATAAATCTGGGCTCAGTCACCAAATTGCCCCATGTCCGGAGGTACGTGAATCCCATGCTGGTGGCTCCGTGCTAGTTGGTTCTCGGGAGATGTGAAAGATTTGTGTCTTTCCAATAGAAATGGCAACTCCAGTCTCCAGCACCTGAGCAAGCAACAGCAGCACTGGGAAACGGAATAGAAAATCAAACTGGAAAACCCAACTGTACTTTTACACCTGTGAACAGCCCTGGCAGCGAGGCCAGCCCAGCCCCAGGTTTGCTCTGCGCAGTGTTCAGGAGTCTCTGGCTCAGCCTTTAACCCCCTTCCATTGATTTCCCCTCCTCCTGCCCACGGGAGCTCCAGAGGAGCCTGGCAGGGAACCAACAAGCAGAACTTGCCACCCTGGGGCTGCTCCCAGGGCAGGTCCCAGCCAGGAGAGGCCATCGTTGGCCGTCGCTGGGGAGCAAAGCAATTGTACAGAGAGACACTGCAAAGACATCCTCTGGTGTTCTTTTGAAAGAAGATACTTGGGATTTTAAAATAAGTAGGTAAATGCTCCTTGTGTTGATGCATCTGGGGCAATTTTTTATCCATATTTCCTATTTTCCAATTGGTAAAACTCTGAAAGTTTCCTTATTCGCTGCATAAAATATTTTTTCAAAGTTAAATTGCTATAAAAACATCAAAACCATCTTTAAGTATGGACACCCTGATCAGGGCATCAATCAGTAACCTATTGAACACTATAGGAAACCCCCAGTGACTGCAATAGTTACACTGGGACCCAAACATTTTAAGTACAGTAGTTTATTTCATTTGATTTTCTAATAATAGTTTTTATGAACACACATACCCAGGGAATGAACTAGGAGTGGTAGGTGCAGCTGATAAATGAACAGATGGAACTCTAGATAAATAATTAAAAGGTTTAAAAGAAAATGTATTTTCCAAACCATAAAAAAAAAGTAAAAGGCCAGTACTTAGGAAAAACATAGGAATTAATATATTGAACATTTCCTGGCTGGCAGGGTTAACAAATGAATTTATATTCTAGTCTATAGCCCTAGATGAAAAATGTTGTATTTTAGCAGAAACATGGGGGTTAAGTGGGCAATATTTCTTTTCAATAAACATAACTCCTTCCCAGGGAAAAATCTGGTTGTTCTTTGGTGGGAAGGGGAAATACCGTCAGAAGTCTGAGACCAACAATAAGATGCAGCACAAGAGAATGAGACCAGGAGGGGACATCCCCAGGCTGGGGTTCCCACAGGGCTCTGCCTCCACACTGAATTGCAGCATCACAACTGGGGTAGTTTTCTTGTGGTTCAAGTTTTGAGAGGAAATTTTTTGATGTTTTGAGTTTTCTGGAGGAGAAACTAATTGCAACTCATTTGACCCAAACAGTGATTGATGAAGTGCAGCAGCAACACACATTGCCCTGCCCTGTCCCAGCTGACTTAAAATTCTCTTCTCCTTCCTTCCCTTCCTTGGCAGAGGACCCTGACTGTCACTGGGTAACACTCCAATGCAGGAGTTCCTCCTGCACTGAGGGCTCTGCTCAATATAACTGGAAGAGGTCAAATATGGTCCTTAATTTACGAGAACCATTTCCTCCCTGTCTCAGGTCGGAGTCTCACAGAGTTCAGCTTCCAAAGGCAACTTTAGTGTTCCCAGTTAGAATATCCTTTGTACACCTGCATGATGAGACATCAGAGAAAGGCACTCCTGGGGTGAGTAGCGGGAGGCAAAGTGCTGTGTCAATGGTTTGCTGCCTGTTCCCACTCTGCTCTGGCAGCAGTGCTGCTCCAGGCAGATCTTCCAGCAGCAGTTGGGAGACGAGGAGTGGCAGCGGCTCCGGCAGCTGACGGATGAGCAGATCCCGGGCAGGGAGAGGGCATTTCTCCACATCCAGATCTGTTTTGCACAAAAACTGCAGACGTGCCCAAACCTTCCCAATATGCTGCAGAGCCGTGCAGCTGTCTCCTTCCTCAGCCCCTTCCAGATTCAAATGCAAATCAAATTTGATGGCCTCAGTCTGTAATTTCGTGCTGCGCAATCCCCTGCTATGCACATTAGGGAAACTGGAAGCGTCTTTTCCATCTATTTTCCTTTTAAATCGCTGGCAAGATTTGCATTAGGGCCGGATAAAATCCCTAAATGGGAATCTTCAAGGACTGTGACAGTTTTGCAAAGAAACTTTGCATGAAAGCAGATGATAACTCAGGTTAGCAGAGTTATCAATGAGTTTGGTCCTTGTCCCTCCATCTGCCCTGGAACCTGTCCCTGCCAGGGTGAGCTGGGCACAGGCTGAGGGGTTCGGTGCCCAAGGGTGCTGCTGATCTCACTCACAGAGGAGGGAAAGGAGGAGGAGGAGGAGCTGCTCACAGCTACCAAACACACTGCGAGGAGTCGCTGCCAACCGGCACAACTCAAAAACGCGGGGAGGAAATAAAGAATTAAAAGAAACATGAGACTTCCAAAACCTGCAATGGAGGCGGCCGAGGAGCATGAAGGCCCTGCCCGCGGGTGCCAGCCCGTGCCCCCCTGCCCCATGCAGCCCCGGGGGGGCCGTACTCACTGTTGGGGTCCACGCTCTCGCACAGCTCCGTCTTGGCCTCGCCGTTGGGGCGGTCGCTGGGCTTGTGGGACAGCCGGGAGGACATGGTGGCCGCCGTCACCACCGCCTTGAAGCTGCGCTTGCGCTTCTGCACGTTGAGCTCGGGGTGGAAGATGATGATGTAAACCTTGGGCATGTAGAGCATCCCCAGCGCCACCGACGCGCTGAGGTTCATGGATATCGTGAGTGTGGTGGTTTGTATGTAGAGCTGGGGGACACAACAAGGAGACACGGTTACACACCGGGGCACTGCAGGGGAACAGCAGCTCAGACATTAAATAACCCCTGACCAGCAGTTTGGAACGAGTTTGCAACCCAAGGGGTGTGAGCTGAGAGCTCTGCACTGCAAACACCACGAGGTCCAACACAAATCACCTGCCTGAGCCATCAACAGCCTCTGCGAGGCTCAGTCCTACAGACTTCACTGTCCTTACCAGCACAGTTCCCACAGTATGGTACAGTACAGCTTCCGTCTCTTTGTTTGGATTGAAATAATTCTGATATAAATTAAAACTTACGCCAACTGTAAGTTACAAAAGGGGAACTATAACAACATAGCTAGTAACACTTTCTTGCTTTTAAAAACATTGAGGAAAGTGGGATTTTCTCAGTTTTCCTGTACTTTAATTCTCTACAGTTCATTGAAACAACTTTGCAGAGAGTACACAGTGGTTTCTGTGCTCGTGACATTCAGTTATGCTCTTTATTAAGAAAAAATAGCATATTTTTAAGTCAGACAGTGGGTACATCCTGAGCACCTCTCCAGCCACAGGCTCCCTGATGTGGTTTTCCATGGGCTACTCCAGTGGGAACTGGCCTTACTGGGAGGTGACTCACCCTGGGGAGGGTTTGACCAAACATTTTCACCTCAGTCCTGGGCTGCTGCAAAAGCTGGAGCAGCAGAGCCCCAGGAAGGGGTTTCTCCAGCACACACGGGTGTTAATTTTTCTTTCTTGCTGCAGTGAAGGGGTCGAAGGTGAAACGATTATTTAATCAAAGGGGTCTTTTGCAGCACCTCCCAGCCAAGTTCCCACCTTGGAAATGCTGATGGGAGATAAAAGGAAAGGGAGAAAGGAGCGTTTGTAGAACAAGGCAGGCTGAGTGACACACAATGCTGCTCATGACAAATGGGAGCTGTGCAAAGATAAGGGAACTAATAGATATGCTTATTATGCAGAGCCTCAGTTTTATGTGTTTTATCTCTGCTTTGTGGTTTTACCAGTCAGACATAAAAATGCAGTTTACGTGAAACTATTTCATTTCTTATTTCACTTCTTCTGATAAACTCTGGAAAGCGCTTTAGATGAATGCAAATGGGTGACTTCAAGTACAAAGGATCAGATTCAACCCACAATGGGACTCTAATAACTCATGTGTGCCTTTTACAGCTGGCTGGTGAGCCTGGCAGCTCCCAGACCTGAGATTAAATTAAGAAATTAAGATGCAGATTTAATGGGAGATGCTCCAGTTTGACATGAATGAGAACTGGGATCGAGCTGATCCAGTCTGGAGGAGAGAAGGCTTTGGGGTGACCTAATGGGACCTTGCAGTGCCTGAAGGGAGCTCAGGGGAAAGGAGAGAGACTGTTAACAAGGGTCTGGAGTGCCAGGACAAGGGGGAATGGCTTCCCACTGCCAGAGGGCATTTGGGGATGCTGGGAAGGAATCCTTCCCTGGGAGGTGGTGAGGCCCTGGCACAGGTTGCCCAGAGAAGTTGTGGCTGCCCCTGGATCCCTGGAAGTGTCCAAGGCCAGGTTGGACAGGGCTTGGAGCACCCTGGGCTAGAGGAAGGTGCCCCTGCCCATGGCAGGGGGTGGAGCTGGATGAGCTTTGAGGTCCCTTCCAACCCAAACCATTCCAGGATTCTAATTGTTACCCCTGAGAAATGAAGGCTTTCTAAAAACAATGGGATGCTGGTCTGTGCAAGTCCCCTCCCATGGAGGGTTTGAAGCCACATTTCCCATGACAGAAGGACAAAGTCATTCTGGAGGATCACCCTCACTCACATCTCCTCTCTCAAGCAGATTCTGAATTTTGACAGATTTTGACTTCCCACACTGTTACAAATGCATGGACTTTGAAGCAGGCACTGGAGAAAACCCAACCCTGAGGACATCATTCACATGCAAAAGCACCCAGATTTTATCACTTCTTTTACATAAGTGATTTCCATTTGAATTTTAGATTTCTGTGTTTTCCAGATTCTTGCTTTATTCATGCAAATGACAAAAATTACCTTCAAAACCTTGAGAGAAAATTAGACTGGTCTGGAACACACACATCTAATAACCAGCAATTTTTACAGGACAAATTATATCAATGGATGATTTTGCATGAATGCGATTTCTCTGGGAAGAAAAGCACTGCAGGATCAGGCCTCTGACTCTTTGCTAACCCAGTGCAAAGATTTCCAGCTGCTGGGCCATGAGAACTGAACTTAGAGTTTATATAATAACTGAACTGATGGCTGCAAATTTAGAAAAGTCCCTTTAGAAGTCAGAAATCCTTTTTTGTACGCTAAAGCTTTGCCTTCAGTCTAATCAGGAGCAACTGCTCCTTTTCTCCAATTCAGCTTTCTAATTATGCACTGAATTGTGTTATTTTGCAATATGGAAATAAAGTGGTAACTTGAGATATTTTTGGACTCGTGTTATTACAAGCCAATTTATCTCACTTTTATATGGGAATTAAAACAAATGTTCTTACAGATGAAGTAGACAGTTTATAAATCTCCCAGAAGGCTCTTCCAGGTCATCTGAAGATTCCATCTCATTCTCTACATTATGTTGTGTAAATATAAGAATGAGAAACACTTTTTAATAAAAATGAAAATTAGCTTCCACTGCTTTATGTGCTTGTAAAAACATGGGAAGTAAAAAGTCCTGAATATCAATGTGCTCTCAGCCACCCTGGTGCCTGATGCCACTGCACAGGCTGTGTGGGGAGGGAAGGTCCTGCAGCACCACCCTGCTTTGGGCAGCACCCCCCTTCACTGACACAACCCCCAAACCAAACTCTGCTCCCGTTTCCTTGGGCAGTTTGATTTGTGGAAGTTTCAGGCACAGCCGTGTCCTTGCACAAGGATTGCACTCTCTGTTGTCTGGGAAATGCAGAATGTCACACGTGTGGCAGCTCTGCCAGCTCTCTGTCCTGCCCTGGCTCAGCAATCAGGGGTGGGAACAAGATGATCCTTAAGGTCCCTTCCAACCCAACCTGTTCCATCATTCTATGATGTGGTTTTACATTTATCATGACACCTTTACAGACCTTTGCCTTCCTGTGCTCCTGTGCTTCAGAGTGCCCTTGGCACAGTGTGAAACAACCCCTGTGCCCTCTGCAGTTCCAAGCCCACCTCAGGACCAGCACCAAGTTCCTGTGAACAGCATTTCTGAACAGAAGGATAAACTCCTGGTTACCTGGATGGGCCAGCTGTGAAACAGCCGTGCTCATGTCCAGCACTGCATGTCTGTGTGCCCAGGGAAGTGTCACCAGCCCAGGGACAATGCCAGTGTCACCAGCCCAGGGACAACACCACCAGCCCAGAGACAGCGTCACACCCCGAGCAGGGCAGGGTGTGAGCAGTTCTGTCCTTCCCGTTCCTGGCAGCAGGAGGCTCAGAACACCACAGGGAAATTGGAGTCCTGTTCCAAGCCATCCCCCCTGCAGAGCCCGTGCACAGGCAGCCAGCACACAGCAAACAGCTCCAAAAGGACTAATTTCCAATTCCCTCTGCCTGTTCTTCTGATGTCACCCTGTCAAAGCCAATGTGCATTTTCATGTCCTAAGAGCACCCAACAGATCGAGGCTTTCAGCTGGCAGTTCACAGGCAAACTGTGGAGTAAAGATGAAGTAAACTGAGGTATTTTACATATATTGAGTATTTGAGCTCAATATTTTATACAACTCATTCCCTTATAATAGAAGCCTCCTTATGTAAGAAATTTGCATACATCATAAATAAATATTTATGGCTTATATCTGTAATTTGTATAATAATTCAAAATAGCAAATGTTAAAGCACTTGCTCTGAGGGTTATGATGCAGATACAGAAGGAGGAGGAATTTTGTCTCTCTTGCCTGCAAGAGAAACTCAACATGTTATCTAGAAGGAAATTAAATTAGCCAGATAACTGGACAGAGCAGCAATGGAAAAGCAAGTTGCTGCTTTCAAAGCAGCTAAAAAGAAATGGAAGCAGTATCAGAGACAGTCCCACAAGTCAGACAGTTTATACAGCCAATATTCTGCATAGAATCCCCAGCCTTGGAAAAAGAGCTGCCTTCGCTTTCTGCAGCAGGTACAGAGACAACAAAGATGCCCAGGAACTGCTTGGAGTCACTTGGGAGTTGCTCAGCCAAGAAATGAGCAGTGCTGGCCCTGGCTCAGGTCACCAAAGCATTGAAGGTGTTTGGAGCAGGTGCCTCCCTGGAACTGACTCCTGAATTCCACTGTCCTTGAAGCAGAAATCTGGCCCAGAAGGATGTGCAGGAAAACAGTCTGGCAAGGACAGGAACGTTTGAACTGAGGTCTGTGCATCCCCACCACTGACACAGGGGGAAGTTCTGCCTCCTGTAGTTCACCTGCACTTGTTCTGTGCTCCTGCACCCCCAGCACTGCCCTGAGCCTGCTGGCCCTGGCTGGGGGGACAATCGTGGGTCCTGCTGCAGATCCACGTGGGGGGGCAGCCAGAGGGGGTGGCAAGGCTGTGAACCCTGTGCAGGTCACAGTGAGGACAAGCCCTCCCTGCCCTGGCCCTGGGAACAGAGGTGGTGACAATGGAGAGACAGAAAACAGCTGCAGGAACCTCTCCTTACTTTTGGTCCATGCTAATTCCATGTCCATGGACGATGACCACCAGAATTTGAAATGGATGAAGTTTTCCCACAGGATCCCAGCCAAGGCTGTTACCCAGTGCAGTTCTGTCCACAACATGAGTGTCCTGAGACCCACCAAAGCACTTCTTGTGGGTCACTAAAGGGTCTTCAGTGAGAAGAAATGTCAGTCACAGCTGGGCTTGGCTGTATTTCAGACACAGACAGGAGGGAATAGCTCCAGAAATCCCATTATCAATCCTCAGAACTGTCTAATATCTCTTGCTTGGCATTCCTGTTTGTTATAATAGCTCTAAAATAAGTTACACATCACCAAAAGAGACAAACACAAAGTGCAACAGAAGTAATGTACATCCCCAACTTCTATTATTAAAATAAT